AATTTGAAACCAATTCCCTATATTCAAAAAATACCATGCGCTGGTACACTCTTAAACCATATATCTGCTAATTGCATCTTTCTTTTTCTAAGTTCAAAAATTAAACTTAGTACTTCTAAAAATCAAGCCAATTCACAAGTCTAAATCAACAAGAGCCTATAGGAACTTAAAAATTTACAAAATAAAGACCAACCAAAAGGTAACTTCTTTGATATCATATTCTTGGACATTGTGATGGCAGCAACTTAGGATGCATTGCCTTTTTGGTGCGCCAAAACCGAAACTAAATCTATAATGATTCTTGTGAGAATTTGCTACCATCGTTTATATATTTATTATGTTATGTTTGATGGAAACTTAGCATGTCTGTATTTAATTTGCTTGAAAACAAATTTATCTATGTCCTGTAGTTTCATTGCCTTTTTCAGATATGAATTATGGATTTCTATCCTAATATCTGTAGTATACACATCTGACCATAATCATGTCGGTGTTAGTGTTATATTAGTGTTATATGTAGAAAAAAATCCTATGGCATGCTTGTTGAGTAGCTATTGTTTTTATCTTAAAGAGAAGGATGGGCTGTTGCAACAGCAGCAACAACTGCATTCAGAGGGAAGTTTTCATCTTTATCTTCATTCTACGAGAAAGCTAATAACAATAGTGCCTTGCAGGGATGGATTGCTGGTGCTTTGTCTATTACTGCTGCAAGTTTGTAAATATTCAATTTACATATCTAAAGGCTAGAACTCTGGGTGTTGATTTTCTACAATGATGTTATTTGTTGCTCACTAGATCAATGTTATCAATGCGTGAAGCACAATGAGAGGGACAAAGCACCTTTAAGCGCACATGTGCAAGGCGCAACGCGATGCGCGCGCCTGAGTTATGCAAGGCGCACACCGCCCACATAATTTTTTGAAAATATATAATCAAGCGTGAAAGAACAAGTTTTTAGAATTCACATGAAAACTATCATGATAAATAGTATCTTACTACAAAATCACAATATAATACCTTAATTTCTAATGCTAACACCCAACATAGTAGCAAAATTTATAAATTTTCAAATCAAATATTAAATCAAGACTAATATCCAAGCAAAGGATTAGTAATGATCCTCAATTAAAGGCTACTAAAAAGACCTAATGGATTTATTTTGCTTTTTTGGGTTATGAAATATCAAGTATAAATGCTCGATTGAAATGTTAACAAACAAAACTATATGAGGATATGTACTACATACACCCTGCACAAAGTAAGGATGTACGTGAGGCGCAAAAAGCGTTGCTGCATTAAAAGTGGGGCGTTTCGTCACCGCCCCGCATCGTAAGGTGCATGAGGCGCAGTGAGGCGCGCGCCTTTGAAAATAATGTGCAAGATTAAAGGCAAAAGAGGAAAGAAATATATTACCTTCTCAATTAGAGACGCTGTTATCGCCAATCGTTGCTCGCTCAAGAATGTGACCCCAACGGGATGACCCCATGAGAAGAAGAGGCTTCTATTGTTGCTCGCTTGAGGTGTTGTTGTCAAAAGGTTGCTGCAGTGGTGTTAGAAGGCGAGGGCGGCGACAACGGGACTACTAATGTTGAGCGGCGGCGACGAAACCTGGATCAAGGAAAAAGGAACCTGGGTCGGTAGCGGTGGGGTTGCAGCGAGACCCGCTGTGGATAGGGGCGGCGGTGGCAGCAGAACTT